CTCAACCCCTAACTAACCCTAAACCCATAAACAACCTAAACACCCAAAGCGTGTTCTTGGAGGTGGACGTGCCGGAGCTTGAGTCTGCCTTGCAGGACAAGGGCTCTTTCTCTGACAGCTGCACATGCACCCATTTGCGATGTGAGCTATAGTCTAAACTCCTATTTAGAGGATTATGTAGGGGACGACTATAGAGGTTAGTAAGGGGGATACTAGGAGTTTAGACATGGGTTCATGTAGAGATGCTCACTTTTGGGCTTGCGGTTTGAGCGTGCAGACAGTGTAAAGTCCCACTTGCGAGGCAGTATGGGCGGCTAGGGACTCTTGTTTTGACCTATGCGCCTCGCAGCCCTCTAGCTCCAGAGCGCAAGCCGTCATTTCTATGATGCCTAGATTTCCTAATTCTCTTACCATGACTCTAAATATCAGTGTGCAAACTTCTGTCATAGTGAAGGTTCATGTGTCACAGCGTATGAGGAAAGTGCCTAGAGGCCATGATCCTTGTGGATTCTCCTAACCAGCCCCCTATAACCCCCTAAGGTCACCCTTAATTAGCCTCTTTATTAAGGGCGAGTTGGGAGCTGGGGTAGGTAAGCCCCCGTAACTAGCCCCTAGTTGCTATAGACCCTAAGCCCTCCAAACCCTAAACCCTAAACCCAAACAGAAAAGGTGCAAGGGGTTGGTAAAAAACACAAACACCTTAAGGAGCTTAGACTAGAACTCATAGGATCCCCCAGGACGCCAAGGAGCGGCTCGAGGCTGCCAAGAAGGCCGTGGCCGCTGAAGCGGCTGAGGCCGAGAACTCGCCACTGGGGCTCGGGAAGGGTCAGATTTTTTTTGTTGTAGGGTTTTGTAGGGTTTTTCAATTTTTCCGGTGTTGTTTTGTGATATGTAGGGAGCATCTGTTTTACAAGAAACCCGCTAGAGGATTCAGAGTCTGTGGGTTTAGGGTTTATAGGCTTTTATCCAAGCCCGTGCTCAAAAGGCTGTCTTGGCAGCAGTACCCAAGCACGTCCGTAATCTTAAAGGGACCAAAAGGACGTGCGTGTGCGCTGATAGTATATGGACTAATGCGACAGGTTTATGGTCAGGGCTTGGCCATAGGGGTCAGGGTTCGGCGTGCAAGGTGGTTCGAGTTTCAGTGTCTGACGCCCAGATAGAGTGTGGGCTTTAGAGATTGCAATCCAGGGTGTATAGGTTCGAGTTGGATTTTTCTTGGTTGGTTGCGGGACTAGGACGAGGAGTTGGGGAGGGACGTGGATGATATATCAGAACCGTTGGCTCCTAGCCTACTTTCTGTAGTGTTGCTGAAAGCAAGACGCTTTGAGCCTCTGTTGAAAGAGCTTGCCTGTTCTTGGGTCCTGAGAGGTGGTGCCCTAGACCGAAAACCCAGACCTTTAAAATGACAACCCCCAAACCCTAAGTAATGGTAATCAACCTAAGCCCCGAAACCCTGAGCCGCACTGTAAATCAATGGGAACTCGTTGGCAAAGACTTAGGACAGAACCCGAGAAAGCCTCCAGTACAACTTCGCCTGCTCCTCCGGCTGACAAGATGCAGGAGCTTTGGGAGAAGTGAGTCACAACTTCAGAACAACGTTTTCATTTATATTGCTAGTATTGCTACTGTTATTGCTATGAATAGTTTTTTTAATTCTTGCTACTGGTATTACTATTCTTACTCCAAATTTTGTTAGTATGTCTTATCTAATATGAATACCGTGGTTGTTGATTGTTCTTTGATTGCCAAACTCCATAACCTAGAGACAGTTGTTCCGGTGAACTGGTAGTGCCGTGTTTTGGGGTTGCGCGTCTGAGCTTCAGTGTGCTGGTTCTTTTGTTTTTTTGTTTCATTTTGGTACTTGCTGCCGTTCTCTTGGTCACGCCTTATCGCGTCATTTGTGTTTCATTGGATAATTGCCCTGCTCACGGTCATGCCAGATTTCCCGTTCGTCGGGTATTTCTGGTCCTTCTGTTGGTCAAGCTGGCTGCCCTATGTCCTATGCGTTGGCGTTTGCAGCTGTTGTGTTCAAATGGTTAAGTGTATTCAGAACCGTGACCGGCGCGCTCCAGTAACATGATGATACAAGAAGAAGCAGTCATCATGGATGTACCTGGTGCGATGTAACTTGCCGTCCGGCATGCTGGAGATGGCCAGGAAGGAGGGCAAAGATGAAATCCCAAACCTCAGCCCTAGACGCTAAACTCTGATCTCTAGACCCTGAACCCTGTAGAATTCCCAATGCCCTGAAATGGGCTTCCTAAGCTGTGACAGGAGGCCTTTGAGGCCCACGAACAAGGGCAGGCGAAGCCGCAGGTGGAGGCCGAGGCGAAGCCAGTGGTTTCGGAGTACAGCGCCTCTGACCCCAAGAGACTACAATTCTTATCATGGGGACCTTCAAAATGGGACCCTTAATTTTGGAGAGGGGACTGTTGTGGCGT